GTTTGTTTGAGTTTATTTGGAGGCTGTCTAAATATGTGGGGGGGGGGGGTTGATTAGAAACGATCAGTAACAAAAGAGTCCTTTTCATTATGGAGGTCAGCATCTTTCTCACTACTGAGCTGAAGACTGTAGAATCTGGCCTGTTCCTCCATTTTGCAAAGCTGTGGCATATGCAGAAGACAATGACTTTACTGAAGCATTGATGCAATATGAAGTAGGAGTCTATTTCAATTTCCATTGACTTAAAATCATGTATCTTGTCACCAGAATATCACATTAGTGACTTTAGCCTTGGGAATTGGCAGTAGATGTTAGAAGAACTATGTCAATAAAGGGGAAACTCCAAACGGTTGAAGAGAGGCTGCTATTTAACAGCTTATTATACTAGTTTCACATTCTTCCTCTCCTTCCTTTGATTATGGTCACAATCAGCTTTAGCCATTTCCCATTACTCCACATACCTCATTTACATCCTCCCCTGTGAAATGAAAATTCTCGTTTCCTTCCACCACAGAGTCAGTTGAAGGGGAAAGGATTACCTCAGATTGACTCAGATGCTCTCTTTTTAGCACTGCCATTTCTCTGCTGATTTCTTGCCGTTGTTGTAGGTCACTGATATTCAAGGCTATAGCCTATGTGTTCATCCTGGGTGTGACTTGGTGTTTTGGCCTCTTTCAATATGGCCCTATGGCTGACGTTATGGCATATCTGTTCACCATCACCAACAGTGTGCAAGGAATCTTCATCTTCCTGGTGCACTGCTTACTCAACCAAAAGGTGATGTACAGCATTGTTTTTCAACCTTTTTTTGCCCACGGCTCCCTTCCAACCTTGTTTTTCACCTGTGGCCCCCCTGTCCAGGTCCCATTACCAGTGAAGAAGATTACCACTTACACACTTGGCTTGCAAAGAGAACACATGCTTTTATTTGTAATAAAGACAGTGTTTGCAGTATAATACCCTTTGCTTTTCTGTGGCCCCCTCAGTATGTGCGGTGGCCTCCTTTTATAAGTTCTTCACCTGTGGCTCCCTTGAAATATCCACATGGCCCCTGGTTGAGAACTGCTGATGTAGAGAAGAAGACCAAACAATACTTTGGGAATGTAGGTTAACAAACAAACAAACAACCTAATGTTCCAAATTTTCCAGACTGGCTTTAGGGTTTTGTGAGCTTCTAGTACAGAAATAATCAGGGTCATCTCCCACTCCCTGTTTCTCTCTCATGCTAGAGATAAAGATGTGGTATTAACAAATATTACTTCAAATTCACTCTGCAAGTGAACTGAGCTTCCCTTTGGACAAAACCTTGCCATTATCGTTAGCAGCAGTACCACTGATTGGTATGGGGTGGGATGGGATGGAGGAACTGTGTGCTTCCCTTGTGGATCTGAAGCCTTATTTGTAATGCCTATAGAGTAATTTCGTTCATTTTTCACTGAAAATTTGTGGGATATTGCAATTCAGGTTTTTGAGGCTGCTGCTAAATATCAGGGGGCTGCAAGAGTGATTTTGCAGGCTGCAGATTTTGTTTTTATTCCTGAATTCATCTATAACTCACGTGCAATTATCCATCTCTATTTAGCTGGCCATTACAAGCAGTACAGATATTCTCTAGTCTCTGTGAAGGTTGGTGGAGATTGCAGGCAGACCAGTGATGGAAGTTCACTAAACAGGTGGTCCAAAAAAGTACATTCCCTTTCCTTTATTTCAGTATCTTCTCAACTGACTGCCCACCATTATACAATCAGACATTACTGGAGGTTTCAGAAGTGGCAAAAAATGTGTATAATCTTTAACTTTGCTTTAGAGAAGCTTGGCAGACTAGGAAAGTAAAAGAGAAAATGCATCTCAACAGCTCATTTGCAATGGGAACACTGTGGATTAATTATTTTGGTTACTAATATACACAGAAACAAACAAACCAACAAACCAAACCATAGCTGGTTTAGTTTGTTTGCTTGTTTTGGAGTATTTCACATACATGTAGTCATTTAGCAATTACCTCCTTTAGCGACCATTTGTAGTTATAACAGTGATGAAAAAGTAACTTTAAGAACAATCCTAACATTTATGACCTTTGCAGACCTGTAAAGCAAAGGAAAGCTGAAAGATCATAAGCACAGTCACAGTTTCACTTAGCGACTGCTTCACTTAAAGACCAAGTTACTGGTACCAATTGTGATTGCTCAGCGAGGATTACCTGTAGTAATAGGAGACTAAGATATTGGCAAAGATGGTTGTTCCTGATGTAACTGGGACTTTGGTTATCTGCCACAACATTTTTGTATAAATAACAAGAGACGTGGTCACAACTGTCATGCAAACACAGCCACTGAGTATGGAGACAATAGGGAAAGCACACTCAGATAATGAAAAGGTCAGCTCCCTGCAAAGATTTGGATCAAAAATAGACAGAATAGGGTAGACTGAAAATGGAATTTGTTAAATAGAAAGTCAGAAAAAAAGAATCTGATGATCATCAGTGCAGTTATTAAAATATTCAAGAAAATGTAGGTATTGTTTTTCTGTATTAATTACATTTCAATCCACTTTGCATCATTAAAACATATCCTCAGGTAGATGCAAAGGAGCAGCTGAAACAGCACAGGAGATCATTCTTCCTACTGACTTTGTATTTTGGATCTTCAGGTGAGAGAAGCATACTGGCATTGGATCTGTTGCATCAGAGACATCAGACCTCCTGTTTCTGTGACCTCTTCTCACATCAGCAATTCTCCGGTAAGATAGATGCATGCTTTTACTAAATTTGCAATGCATGGTGTTGTGGAATTTTTGCCAAAGACAGCACAAAGCTGAGGAGAAGAACCATGTTTATTACAATGATCATTGGGTGTCTGCTTTCCAAGAAAGAGGGATCCTGAACAATAGAAAAGCATAGAATTTATACACTTTTGAGGTTGAGAGGTGGGAAATCTGAGGGATCTGATTCCAGGATAGATTTGGATAGGTGTTAAATGGGGGATAATTGGTTTTTCTATTGTGAGATAAGAACCACAGCAAACCCTTAAGCAGACAGGTGATGGCCCTCCCATTGTTTCAGTATGATAGTGTTAAGAGGGCTATTTTTAGCAGCGGAACATGTTCATTCTTGAATCATGCAATAGCTTGGAGCCAGTCCTGTTTTGCATGAGCAAAGAATGGCAGAAGGAAGTGGAGAAAAGAGATTGCAGAAGAGGCAAGGGGGAGGGGGGAGTAAAGAGTTTGCTGCAGGAGAGGAAGGGGGAGGGGGGAGTTTCCAGCTTTATTTTATTATTTTTCCATCACAATGGGTAAACTGCTTCTACAGCCCAATATTACAAGGATAAAAATGTATAAAGTATCAGATTTCAGAGATTAGATTTTTCCAGCTGATTTTATTGTCACACTGCAAACACCATGTATCCAAGATGGCAGAAGGGGGAAAATGGTTGGTTTATTTTGATGTTACTATAAATGTGCCAGAAATACAAATGCTGAGATTTAGTTTCACCATTATTTTCACCAAGAGGCCTAGGAAATGCACAAAAGAGCTGAATTAGGTCACTGTCTCTCTATAAAATAATCTCTTGAGGTTTATTCATTTATCTGCCTTTGGTTGAAATATTGTAGAGCTCTGGTATTTCATGGAGAGTTCTGTAGGTTGTTCATTCATATATTTGGAGATGGAAAGCCTGTGTGATTCTACAAAGTCCTTTTTTGAAATGAACAGTAGATCTTCACTTAAATGCTAAAAGCATCTGATCAGGTTGTTAAGAGTGGAGATTGTTGCTGGAAAATACATATGTGAACAACAGCAAAGCTCCCTTTCCTAGGGTTAGTTCCCAGCCCTTCTCTACGTGTTATGTGATTCAGACCATCACAATAAGCTATAGAAGGCTCCTTGCTGGCTGGGGAATTCTGGGAGTTGAAGTCCACACATTTTCAAGTTGCCAAGGTTGAGAAACATTGGTTTAACCCTTTATTTGTTTGGACATATGCAAAGATAGGAGTTGCATTTTGTTAACTTCAGTTTGTTGCGTAAACCCAAGCCCAGCCTTGTTTTTCTATGTTCTGTTGCTTCCACATTTAGCTGATAACCTAATGAAAACCTTGTGGTGTTTTTTTCTTCTTTTTTTCAGACAGATGTACCAAGTACTACTACAGTGGAAAACCAGAAGATGGGATGGGGACAAGCAGCATAGCTCACTGACTCTCTTTTGGACTCTTCTGTTCAGTTTGAACAAAACTGAAGGAAATTTGAATATACAGTATTAAACCTTTGTTTTCTTGTTGGCTCTCTGCCCTTTAATGCATCTTGAAATCCAGACCCATACTGGAAACATTACTTTCAGCTCATTCCCTATTTTCATTGCCATTTTCTTTCTGTTCTCTAGGATAGGATAGGATAGGATAGGATAGGATAGGATAGGATAGGATAGGATAGGATAATATTCAGTTGTTTCAAATTCAGAATATTTCAACTTTGCAAAGGTACATATTTAAAATGTTTTATGCAGCCATGATATAGTACATTTCTAACATTCTTTTTTTGTACATTGCTCTTTTAGGGAATATAGTGTGTACTGATAGGCTGAATCTAGGCTGGAGGAATGCAAAGGAGATGCCAGCATAACAGTATCTTGACAGCAGCATTCCGCCCCATAGTAACAATGTACTTTAAATAAAACAGATCAATAGATTATTTTTGGTGCTGCCAAAACTCCAGGTATTTATTGCAATTATAAATCCTTAACTGTGGTAGCATAAACACATTGCAAACTACAGACTTTTCAGCTTTGAGAAGGAAAACACAACTGAGATAGTCCAGAGAGACAAAACACCAGTTTAGAAACAATGCAAGAGTGGTCAGTTTCCAGGCCAAAATTCAGCCAGGTTATCCAAGACAGGCCATACAGTTAGGCTAGGAGGTAGGCGGTGGGTGTGTGGGTGGGGGTGTGTAATGTTGATTGCCACAAAGAGCCAGTCAAAGTGCAGTTTCCTTTATACAGAACATACTTATACAGTATAGACCAGTGTTTTTCAACCTTGGGAACTTTAAGATGTGTGGACGTCAACTCCCAGAATTCTCCAGCCAGCAAGGCCGGCTGAGGAATTCTG